TAGTGGTTGCTCGAGGCGAGGATGCCGCTGCAGCCTCCGCAGGGCAGTCCGGTTGAGGTGAGTAGAAACCGAGGGCAGGCGGAGGAGGGGGCGACAGGGAGGTGTGGGGGGGGGGGGTTCGGAGAGGGGCGGCCACGTGTTCGGGGAGGGGCCACGGCTGAGGGCCCGCGAGGTGTTCGTACCGTCCGGGACGGCGCACAGCCGCTGGTCCCACGGGTCGTACTTTGGCTTGAAGTGCACGTCGACGGCGAACCCGTCGGGCAGCTGCTCCTGCGCCCAGGCACGCAGCCAGCCGCGCACCGTCTGGGGGTACGTCTGCGACAGCCAGTAGAAGAGGATCGCCTTGCCGACGTTCTTCCACCGCGTGAGCAGGTACGCGAGCCTGAACAGAGACAGGGCCGCCGTCAAAAGAAAGCTGCCCGCAGCGCTGCCAGCGCGTGAGGAAGACGGCGAGCCAAGCGGGGAGCCAGCGGCGCAGGAAGAGGGCGACGGCGTCTCGCCCCGGCTCGGAGACGACGTAGGTCGGCGAGCGCTGCAGCATGACGACGTGCGCTGCGGAGGCGGCCATCGCCGGCACGAGGGTGACCTATACAACAATCGTGCCGCCGCAATCAACGAATTGCTCATTGAGCTGATGCATCGCCGGTGGCAGAGGGACCGAGGGAGACGCGCGTCAAGATGACGCGCATCCGCCAGAAGACTGCAGAGCGGCTCAAGGAGTCACAAGAGATCACGGCGTCGCTGACGACGTTCAACGAGGTCGACATGACCGCCATCATCGAGATGCGAAAAAAGTACGGCGACGCCTTCCTCAAGAAGCACGGCGTCAAGCTCGGCTTCATGTCGCCCTTCGTCGCCGCCGCCTGCCGCGCCATCACGGAGATGCCGGCGGTGAACGCTGTCATCGACGGCAACGAGATCGTGTACCGCGACTACATCGACGTGTCCGTCGCCGTGTCGTCGCCGAAGGGCCTGGTGGTGCCCGTGCTTCGCTCCGCCGACAAGATGGGCCTCGCCTCCACGGAACTACCTC